GATGACGAGGCAGATGAAGACACACGGAAACGAGATTGTTTCAATGGAGACGCAAGATTTGAACCTTAGCTTTCAATAACATGACATAACATTGAATAATGAAAGGAGCGAACTCGTTACACCTCAGTTACATTGTTACTATACTATATTTAGATCTTTATATTTATATAATTACACGGAGGCTTATATAAATACACGTATACTTGTATGTTCAGTGTCTCGACCCTACCAGTAATTCAGAGAGATCTGCAAATGGTGGAAATAAACAAATATTGTTATTGTTATTGTTATTGTTATTGTTAACAGTAAAGCTCTTACTTGCAAAATGAAGCAAAATTTTCAGCTTTCTGGAGGTAATCTGCAGCGTGTCACAGGGAAGAGTCCCGTTATCCGTAACACCAGCCGAAACCCTCAGCCAGTCTTGCAGCTTCTTGAATGACTATCTCATGATCTTCTACGCGTCAAGTGCACGCCTACCTTCTAAACGCGAGATGCCCATGTGACGCGAGTCACGTTCGAACATTTCGTTAGTCAATGTTTGATGGTTGTAACTCGAGCATTCGTTAAAAACCAATTTTGCAATATAATCGTATAATATACAGTAGACGAACACGCGAGGCTACAAATCAATCTAAGAGCATTAAGCTCACAAAAATACCTCGTATTTTGCTCTCTTAAGACTTGGAAAACGTCAGTGATTACTTCTTTCCACATTATTTCGTTTTCTAACATCTTTGCATTTTTGTTTCTTTGATCTTTGACTTTTTATTTCTGATTTTTTTCGGTGTTTCCACCACGTGCGATGTGATTTATAATTAGAGTATATTCAATAAAAAAAAACCATCAAGTGTGGTGTCCCTCAAAGTTCGATTTTTAGGCCCACTATTGTTTTTCCTATACATTAATGACCTCTCTAATGCCTCTGAATTAACAGACCCTCTATTTTTCGCTGATGACAAGAGTATCTTTTATTCTCACTCAAACCTAAATTGCTTAGAATCCGTACTTAAATGATGAACTCCAAAATATTGACGTTTGGCTAAAATGTAAAAAGCTTTCAGTTAATATAAAGAAAACTAACTACGTCATATTTAAACCCAGACAGAAGAAATTTAACTCCAGCATTTCTCTCTCTTTTGGAGGTAAACCCCTACAACAATCTAATGTAACTAAATTCCTTGGGGTCTATATTGACAATCATCTCACCTGGAAACACCATATCAGCTATGTATGTAAACAAATCGCTAAATCAATAGGTATTATACTTAGGTATTATACTTAGGTATTATACTTAGATCTCGCTTTTCCCTACCTTCTACAACCAAACTAACTTTGTATTACACCTTAGTTTATCCTTATATCGTTTATTGTAACTCCGTCTGGTCGTCCACATACGTATCTAACTTAAATATTATTTATTATTTGCAAAAGCGAGCTATGCGGGCTACCACCAACTCTGACTATATCGTGCCCATTCTGCTCCTTTATTCTCCAAGCTAGGAATTTTAGATATTTTCCAAGTCAATACGTTTGAAATCGCCAAATTTATGTTTTATTTCAAAAATTATTTATTGCCCCCATTGCTTCTCGATCTTTTTGTAAGGGATAGCCAAATTCACAACTATGGTACCAGAACAGCCAGTAATTATAGAACGCATTTGTGCCGCACAAATCTCAAGCAATTTACAATTCTTTACTAAGGTCCCGTAAAATTTGGAACTCTCTCCCTATCGTGTAGTCACTCGTTCGTCAAACTTTCTCAGCTTTAAGACGAAATTACAAGAGTTTTTACTTAAATAATCACCTAATTGGCCAAGCCGCACATGCGCAGCACTTTTTCTTTACTTGATTTATTATTGTAAGTGAGGTGGCTCTCCCATAAGCCTGGTGGCTTCTTGGGTCTCCTTGCCTTCTAACCGTTATCGCTGTAATTAAATATTTTTGTTAAAATAAGGCAAATAAAAGATGATGATGATGATGATGATGATGAATAAATCCGATTGAAAGTAACTGTCTTAGCGTGGTACATGGGAAATCGCAGTCGAGAACATGTATAGATGCTTTGTGGCCTGGAATGAATCGCCGCAAGAGAGCTAAAAATATACACATCACGCGAACTCAAGTCAGCCAATACTATTCACTTTGCGCAAGCATGGAGCTCGTTTCGGGAATGATCTGGGTCAGTCTTTCTACCGATCAAAGACCAGAAATTGTCATTGTCATATATGGGTTCCACCAGAATTTTATTGAAGAAATCCACGTTAATTTATCTTCAGCAATTAATCGATTTCCTCTACCTCACAAGTAAGGACATTAACAATATGAAGTCGTTCTTTCCAAAACAGAAGTAAAATTAAAACTGAATTTAGGTGAACTCTGCTTTACGCGTGAAAATAAAGAAGTAGATACGCATATTGTCAGATGCGTTTTTAGTTCTGATCGAGTTTGTACCCTTAACATATCCAACTTAACAAATACCCTTGCAGCGTTTTCGATTCAGTGACGTTAGAACAAAAACAAAATAATAACACCAGGCAATCAGATCAATAGAAAAAATATCGAGCCAATCGGAACTCAGAGTGAACACAAGTGGCCGCTATCAAGCGCGGGAAACCACGTGTAACCGGGGTCAAGTCACGATTGGTTTAAGTATTGCATCTGATTGGTGGAGAAGTTGGAGACAACTTTCGTGACAAATCAATGCGCGCAGCGGAGCAAATCCAAAGCAATTTTTGGATTACTGTCAATCCTCAAGCCTCTTGCTCGCTGTATGCCAAACTGAGGCTGAAGCGTACACCTTGCTTTAAGTGTTTAAGCATGTTGAAAACAATGTCCGACACAATTCAGATATGCTTAAAGTTTGATAACAAAGGCTAGATCTTGAAAGAGATGCCCAATGCTTTCAATTCTGAGTGTATCTGCATGAATTAATGTCATATTGCTAAGGTTACTCTTCGTTAAAAAGCCTTCTTCTTCTGTTCTTTAAATTAAGCCAGAGGGAACCCAAGTTCGAATCTTGGTCAACACCTGGTACAAGGAGGCCTCATTTTGGTACAAGGGGCTTGCGGAGTTCGTTTGTGAGCCAAAGAGCAATTGTTAACAGTGACACAGCACCAGCTTGATGTAGTGCAGCGAGATGAGTTGGAACATATAACAGTAACGTAGAAATGCCGAGAGTGACCTGAAATAGAAAACAAACAAACAAACAAATCAAATTTGACGAATAGCCCCGAGAGAGGCGAAGATACAAGACTGAATCCAACCTCGTTCCCAGGGTCTCTCATCTTACCGCCCCTGGAGCGAGAGAGGGGCGGAAAGATGAGAGACCCTAGGAACGAGGTTGGATTGAATCCCAGAAAAAAAAAAAACAACAGTTGCGCGTCTATCTCTAGCCTGCAGTAATTACGTGAGTGCGTGCTCGGTATTTTTTTAGTGAAATTATAGCTGCCGCCTTTGACTTTAACTCAACGGAAGGTTAGGAGAGAAAGAAATTTGAACCAAGGGGGTGAGCGACGGTCAAGAGGAAGTAGAGGGGAGCCATGCAAACACTGGTACAACTTAATCCAAGAAACCTCACCTGCACGGCGGACATTCCCAGCAGACAGTTTAACGCTATGTTAGCTCTTCCGGGCAGTTTTAGTGGCCTTGCGAGTAAAAACAAAATGGCGATGGAAGACACAGTGGTAGTTCCCTAAAAAGAAGAATATTTCAGAACGTGAATGATCGTTAACTGTGCAAGTGTAATTCTCCTTTTTGCTATTTGTCACCCAAGGCAGTGTAGCCACGATGTCACGCAACACAAGAAGGAAGGATTGCTTTACAACATGACAGTCCATTCTTCAACCAGCCCATACCCGTTTGTTCCCCCTGGATCACTCACAGAACTGACTCTGATTAATAACTGCATCGAGAGCATCAACTCACAAGAATTCTGTGGACAAACTGAGTTGTTGTCGGGTTTTCGAAGAAGTTTTTCCACTTTGGTTCGAGCGCGAAAAAGTCGCTTGGAATCCAGCAGTCTGCCATCTTGGGAAAAGAGTTGTACACAAGACCAGCATCTAAACCGGCAACAAAAGCACCTGTGGGTAGAAGGTTGGAGTTCAGTAAATTAAAGCATGGCTTGGGAGTTAAAGTGGCGCGACACACCGCGAAGTTTGCCGAAGGTGATCTCTCTTATTTACATAATTTTGTGCAGCGTGCAAATAGCTGCTATAGAGTCAAAGAGACCGGTAAACTGAGACTTTGAAACAATCTCGAAAATATGAGACTGCTAGTTGATCGAGACACCTACTACGGAGTTTTGAATTTCGGGAAAATATCGTACGCTTTTAACGCAACGCTAGTTTGATTCTCACCTGAAACTGCAGTGAGTCCTACAAAGCCCTTGCACGTGTGAGCAAATCTCCTGAACTGCCTTAGTTGTGAGGTCATTACATACTAAAAATAAACGGAACAAGCTAGGATAAGATCAAAACTAAAATAAAAAAATAAAAAAAAACCATTCCTTTTTCTTTTTCGTTTAGCGTCGAATGCGTTTCCTGATCATGATATCAAATTGAGTCGGTCGGTCTGTCGGTAAGTCGGATTGAAAAAAAAAAAAAAAAAATGGAAAAAAAAGTCACAAGAAGTCTCTCAATGGGAGACCTGGTACCTTAGCGTCATTAAAAGCTAATGTTTACATATCTGGTTTAGTAAAATTCACAATATACTGTAAAATATGTTCCTAGTTTGTTCCTGTTTTTCTCTATGCCGTTATTGCGCTCACTTTTCAGATCAAAATAATTATTTAACGTGAAGAAAGGTTTAAATACGTCGGTACTTTTCTCTTTGAAAAAGCCAAAAATTGGGGTTGGTTGCAAGACACTAAAAGGAGAAAAAAAAAAAAGAGGATGGCCATCTAAAAAAATAGATAAACTTAACAGCCATTTAAAATATCTTACTGTCGAAGTATTTCTGTAAGTTTGTAAGAATTAGAAAATCACTATTTGTGCATCTTGAAAATTTAACTAGACCATAACTTACCCTTGGTCGTGGGATGAACTGACTCAGACCACTCCACACCAATCCAGAATACAAAAGAAAAGCAAGTGACAGATGTGCAGCGAGGCGGTACTGACTGACTCGGGGAATCTCTGTTTTACTGATAAGTTCCTCGTCAAGGCCACTCTTGACCATGTACCAACCCATCAAACCCTGTGGCAGACATTGAAAGACAACACAACAGTTTTTAAGCCTTATAATGAGGGGTGGGGGGGGGTTCACAGGCACTCTTGCCACTTTTCACCCCTGACGTTCCCTTGTAAATTTGTGGAGTTAAAATAGATACTTTATTTACCAGAGGTCTTGAGCATTGAGCTGGACACTAGTGTATAAAATTGGGTATTAGCATCTAAAATCAGACATTATTGCCTAAAATTGGAGGTTAGTGTCTGAAATCCGTCACTAATGACTGAAATCAGACACTCCAATTTCAGATCAAGAACATTTGTTTGCTCCATTATTTAATTGTAAAGAAATCTTTTAGTTTATACCTGACTCAGTAAGAGTGCTCCAAACACCACAACTCTCATTTTCAATCCTTTATTAAACCAGCCCTTGTACCAGAAGTACCCCGCAGGAAGATAAAATGCAACTCCAACCAAACGACCCCACATTCTGTGAGCATACTCCATATACCAGATCCACTTAAACTGTGTGAGACTGATTCCTTGGTTGGTACTACAAAAACAATCATATCTTTGCCATTTCATTCAAGGAGTTAAGATGCCGGATAGTCCTCTGTGCTTAAGGGCTTAACAGGAAGAAATCTTTTGAGGGTGATCTGATTTAAAAAAACCATTTTCCACAAAATATGAGAGGAGATGCAATCCCATATTAACACAATTAAGGTGATTTTCAGGAACCCTGAAGTAAGGAACCCTTGAACTGTACCCTCGAGAAATTATATCATCACAAATGAATCTATCCTACTGAGTAAAAGGTGACAGGATCAGTCCAATAGAAGAACTTTTCCTCCGATCTTGTTATATTTCATTTTGCAGTAATTAAGGTACTGTTTGGGCCAGACCTCCTCTACTCTCTTGAGTCCAGTTTTCATTCAAGGGAGGAACAGAAGCTCATTCTCAGCACAGAAACTTAGCTACAATCATCAAATATGCACCATTCTCCATACTATTTATATTCAGGAAACTTCTGGTATTTTTCAAACTCCTTTTCCCACTCCTCTTGTGTTGTTGGTGGCTTCATTCCTTTAATCAGATGCCAGTCGACCATTGACAGACCAGATTCTGTCAGCCGCGTGACTCCTCCCAGAACAACAGAGCCAACTGCCATGCCAGCACATCCCAATAACCAGAAGCCTTAAAAATTGGGAATTGTGAGTTGTAAGGTGAAAATTAGGTTAGTTTCCATTAATTCAGCTTAACTGATTACTGTTAATGTGTGTTAATAATGCTCATGGTTTAGGAAAGGTAAAGTGAAAATACTGTATCTACATTTGATGACAGCAACAAACCAATAAGAATAATACAGTCGAACCTCCACTAATGGCCACCCCCCCGTTATGGTCACCTTTGCACAATGGCCACTTTTTTCTTTCCCAGCAGGCTGTCCATACATTCATTTAAACCTCTCCACAATGGCCACCTCTCCACAATGGCTGCTTTCTTCTGTCCTCAAGGTGGAAATTGCGGAGAGGTTCAACTGCACGTATCATAATATTCATCTTTTTGACAGAGAGAGTATTGAAAGTGGAAAAGAAAGATTAAAGTTCTCCTTTACTAATCAATTTTTAAACATCAAATATGAATTGTTAAGGTGTTTTTTTGTGTACTGTTATATCTTGACCTTCTCTTCTTCAGCAACAAAAAAAGGTTAACAATACACAAGGTTTTAGAAATAATGATTGAATTTGCTTTGTATCCACTTCTAACGTTCTCATGAAAATGCTTCTTTGAAAGCAATGTGCGATGTCCTAGAACAAGATAACTGGCCTCCTCTTTTAGCTGTGATCCAAACCTGGAAGAACATTTTTATACCTGTTATTTTTGTGGCTCTGAGAGAGATTTCTGCCGTTGCTGTTGCTGTTGCGGTAGAAGCCTCCGTGGTAAGTAACTTGCGGCATCCTCTCGAAAATTTACAGAGTCTTACCGGAATCTAGAAACATCAGATGGTGGTATCACATTATTGAACTTGAGTTAATATCAATAAAATTGATCGAGCGTATGGTTATGTAATCGTACTGACACTATTTCACCATGCTTCACTTACAAACGTTTCGAGCAAATTTTTTTTGCCATTTTTCTAAGATAACCCAAATACCGAATCAGCTTCAACTTCCAGGGAAGACATGCTTGAATTGTTAAGACCGAATATTAGAGTTACTAGCCAAGCTTGTAACAGGGAAGCAAAACATTAACAAGAAAATTGTCAAAAAAAGAACAAATATTTCCTCACCGATTGTCTCTTGAGAGCATTTAACGAGCTCAGACTTTTGAAAGTACACCCTAACCGTAACATCGCAGTTAAAATAGACAATTCTTTTAGCGTGACATGCAGTACAACTCGAACTCAAATAGAGATTTCATTAATTTTATACTTTTCGTTTAACGAATCAATTTTATGAATGCGGGAAACTGGGTCATACAAGAAGTGTTACACAAGACTGTTACCTCAAATATTTGAATCCGCAAGAGTTATCATCACCGTGGGCTCAATGAAGAATATCTTCCTGCTTTTCATGCAAAAACTATTGACACTTTCAACTTTCAGCTAAAGTTTGCTGTATCTTTTATATGAGTAGACATCTCGCCTTCTTTCTAAGAAGGATTTACAAGCTGTCTGTACAAAAATTAGAAAATTCAGCTGTGTCAAGGCTTATGCAGAAGATGGCGGATTGTACCACGTGCAACTCGGAACGATTTTCAAAGGAACCACCAAAAACGGAGGAAGAAAACGGCGGTTTGAAAAGGTCCCTGAATGATGACAACACGACAGATAATGCTGGTAACAAGATAATGAAAACAGAACCTGGCGAAAAGGTACAAGAACATGCTCATTTTTTATCCTACAACTAGCCTTCTTTGAAATCTCATTAATCATAATACGCTCTCTTAGACTCGAACACCCTCTCGCCCCCTCCCCCCGAGGATGGGGGGGTAGGGGTGACGGGAGTTGAGACAGGGCCTGTTGGGATATTTTTTGAAGGAAGCTGAAACTTTTGAATTTTTTGCTATGCAATTTACGAAGTTGTTGGTGACAAGATGGTGGTGTCAAAGTTTCGCCTTCCTCAGGGAAGTTATGGTTAGAAGAGAAATTGTCCTCAAATGTACATCATTTATCTCCAGATGTCCTTGATCTAGCTTTGGAAAAGAAAGTTAAATTACTTCTGTATTCACAGGTTGCTGATGATGAGAAAGATGAAAAAACAGCTGTACTTCCACGAAAAAAGAAGTGTGCATTGCTTTTATCTTACTGTGGGGCAGGGTACAATGGCATGCAAATGTAGGTACTGCCATCAAGTGTTGATGATTGAATGAAAATACGACAAGTAGCCATGACATAATAAGTTGACTCAACATACAAGACTATTTTGAGCCGACACCAGTTTTTATATAACATAGAAAGATTAGGGGAATGTCCATTACTTCATCTCACCTGTAGGATGCTATTCCATCTCAGATAATGGCTCTCTGCCCTCACAATTTGTCAGGTTTCCCTGAAAGTTCATTATAACCCACTCCGGGATGGAGAGAGATGTTGTTAAATGGCATGCCATAAAAGCCTGCAGATAAGCCACACCCACAGATAAGCTGCACCGGCAGATAAGCCGCACTCCGAATTTAGCAGCGGAAATCCTAAGTCAAGTCTTGAGAAGTCTTCTTCATCCACTGTTTATCAAGCGTAAACTCATCATTAACATTGCAATGGAAAATACTTCAAAGTGTTACCCACAATTTTAGCACTTTAATGTAATGAACATTGTTTCTACCAATTGTGGATAAGCTTGGCTTATCCACAGGCTTTTACAGTATCTTGCCTTAGTAGATTGTAACACAATAAGCCATACAGAGCTTGAATTTGAATCATTTGTATGCAGCTAGCAACTGTAACCCTCTGTGTCTTTCATCAATATAATACTTTGTAGATTATGATCTTTTTCTAAGCTAAGATCAACTTTTGTACGGTAAATAATAATACTGTCATCGTAAAGCAATGGGTTGCATGGTATGAAAGTATTTATGTCCACTTGAAGAGTTTCAACACAACTGTTTTTACTCAAGATGAGTTGTGTTTTGTTAATGTGGACTAGAGAAAAAGACAGCCCTAATCTTTGCCAGGGAGTGTTTTTAATCAGTAACTGTCTGGTGACAAGAAGGGCTATATCTATTGACTTTGTTTTCAATGAAGATCATTGGAACAAATGATAGGAGTCAAACAGAAGAGGATTTTAATATGGTAGTGTGCTCAAACTTGTCTGAAGGTTTTTCATTTTTAGTTAGCTAATTTTTAATGAATTGTTTTTTTTGTCTAGTAATCCTGGTGTTAAAACTATTGAACAAGAACTGGTCAATGCCTTGTATAAAGCTGAAGCAATAACTGAAGATGGAAAAGCCAACATGGGAAAGGTGGGTTGTGGGATATTCTCCACAGTGCAGGGAATACTGAAAAAGCCTTTGATTGTTCAGTCTCTTTAAAGAGATTTCACTGTCTACTCAGGAAAATGCACTGGTTCTTCTGAATGCTCATGGCTCAATTTTCAGTAGGCATTGATGCAAATAAAACTTTTCAGTGGCAACTTTGTTTTCCAGTCCTGTTGCTCGAAATCTTTCAGTCAAAAGAAGAAATGGAATGGTTGTAGTTATGCAAAGCTCAAATCAGAATCGGTACTAAGGGCTATTAGCTCTAAAAGTAATGATTTGTTATCAATGATGTTAGTATTGTTGTCAGTTTAAAAGTTAATGCCGGTATGTATTTTTTTATATATTTTTTTTATAAAAAAATTAAAAGAGGCAACTGGCTTTTTGAAACTAAACAACAGCATCGTTGAAAATATTCCAAGATTTCCTTGATGTTTATATGATTGTATCAGGTTATTAAATTTCATAGAAATCTAGATTGTGAAATGAACAAGTTACATTGTAGTTGATAAATAATACTGTTTTTAGTCGTTTTCTGTTACTGTAAATAAAATATGCTTTCTTTACTATGGGTATGTTAGTAGCTGACGAAACAAAAAAGTTTTTTTTTTATCTCTATTCTTTTCGCTTTAGATGTCCTTTCAACGATGTGCTAGAACAGACAAAGGTGTTTCTGCTGCAAGACAAGTTGTGTCCTTAAAGATAAGCATCACAACAGATTCTTCTAATAACACGAGACTGCTGTTTTCCTCATTGCCTGTTTTCACAAATATGGATTTTGTATTATTGAATGAAATCAAGTGATCTGGGATTTGGGTAACCCTTTTTGAGGTTTCATTTGCCTGTAGTATATGTTGTGAAAGTTTTCCAGTGAAAAATGCATTTATTCAAGAGGTAACCATGCTATGTATCAAATTCCTTTACACACATGTGAAATTTACAGTGATTTACTGTCAGTCGTATGGAACTTCACAGGAGCACTCATTAAAACTTGTACTGTGATCTTTGAAAAAGTATCTTCTTGGGGTCATTTCTTTGGAAATGTGCTTGTATACCTACTGTGTGGCTGATAACTGTTAATTATACATTTACATTTTCTTTTAAAAAACAAATTATATGATAATGTACTGGACCAGACGTAATTTTTTTTTTCCTCTTTGTCTTTACATGGTGCCATTGCAGAACCTTTTGCCAAAGATTAATGAGCATCTTCAGCCTGAAATTAGAGTCCTTGGTAAGTCACAGAACCTGATAGAGTCATGTACTGTAGCTCTTTACTTACAGGTGTTATTGCATTACTCATCCTCTGAGGATTAGGTAAAACTAATCAGGACATAGAGAGAAAATTCTACTTAAGGTTGACATACATGGTAAGTTTTGTACAACGGATGTCCCTTGTTTCTTGCAGCCATGAAAAGAACAACTAGAGGCTTTGATGCAAAAGGAAACTGCTCAGCAAGGACATATGAATACCTCACCCCTACGTTTGCTTTTGCCAAAGATTATGTAAGTTTGTGCTTCAAAACATTTGATTGCTCTTTTGATGAAAAAAAAATATGTCGACAAGAATCATGATGAAAAGTAAATTGAATGATCGAGTGACCTGATGAGACAGCCATTTGGGTTTCTGAAGTTTACTCTGCATATTGTGAAGATAATACGACTGTACACATATGACCATTGCTTTATCATTTAATAATTTTGTCAGCCAGTCAATCAGTCAGTCAGTCAGTCAGTCAGGCAATCATACCAATACGTACGCAGTCCATCTACATATGTGTCTGTCTATTTGTCAGCCAGGCAGTCAACCAACCAGTTTGTCAGTCTGTCA